TTTATATTTGGCCGTAGATATCTGAATAGGTGTAACATAGTTTTCTGTATATAATAAACCTTAAATATTGGACCGGAACCCCCCATTACCCGGGACAGATCAAGATAAAAACATTCAATCAAAAGGGTGGACTGCTTCAATTCTTTCCAAACTCCGTATGGTGGTAAACATTAGCCTCCTGATTACGACCAACAACGTTTTGATCAAAGTTTTGGACCAGTACGCATCAAAAAGATTACAGCCATTCCAACGTCAAGGTCGCCAAACCAGGATCTACAGGCTTTTCTTTACTATTAAACGTTAGTTCAGGGCCACATTTATTCAGTTCGGCAACACGTCTCCGAAAATTATTAGTACGATTCTTACTAAGAAGGTAACGGTGCTTAATACCGACTCGCAATGAAAGCCGGGGAGTATAGTACGCACAAAAACCAAGCAGCGCGGTCCTGCAAGCCAGGGTTCAACAGTGGGAATGAGGCTGTTTAGAGGTGAACCTTGTGAATTTCTTTTCTCTTCATGGAAGCAGATAACCTTCACCATTATAGTGTCCCAATGCTCATTTGATTGCGAGTGGCTCCTTGGACGAGGCGAGGTTGATTGGTGGTCGGGGGGGGGGGGGGGGAGGGGGGTTAGATAGCAAGCGTGCCTGGAAAAACTTCTGCACTCAGTTTGCAGACGAGTGTTTTCTACCGGATGAATATGATATTGATGTATCCTGGACTACAGGTTCTTGAGGAAGATATTGTCTTCCAGGTAGTGCGGAGGATGGAATATTGTTCTTGGGTTGTAGTCATTTACATCAGACATGGCTCTAACTCTTTTCTTGGGGGGAGGGGTCGGCTCAGGACTGGTTCACAGAGTTTTGTATCTGGTTCAGCTCATGATCCATGGCTGTTCCATTTTTTATTTGACTCAGTTCGGACTCAGTGCTCGAATTGAGTCATTTGGCTCATGACTCATGCAGTTTGTAAAATCAGATAGTCCTCAGCTGAGATTTGGGAGTCTCCATGATCAATAATACGGCGTTCGCTGCTTTTGAATAACAACAACAAACTCCTGGCATTGCAAAACAACTTTATACTTAAAGTTGCGTGCCGTTCACTTCAAGACCTGAAATTGTTTGTTGATTTAGGTACGACACACTATATTCTGCATGCTACCATTTTAACTTCAGCCATATGATCACGTGTGTTGTTTCGCATTCTTTTGGTGGGCCACTGCCCCCCCCCCCCCCCCCCAATATCTAATCTGCCCCTCTCCCCAACGGTGAGTTTTCCCCCTCCCAACTTTCTGGAGCGCAAGTACATGTAGAGCATTGTTAACAGAATCTCAAAATTACATCTTATTCAAAGAAGGTTTTTACCAATTATTTCACATTTTAATGGACCAATGAAACTAAACACTGCGATATCATATCCATTTAAGTGCGCCTAACTAAGTTAGTCACACTTTTAAGGCTTCGCGGTCGTACCGCGTTCTCTTCAATTTTTTCTTCTACTGTTGTTGCATGCTCCATGTTTTTAACTACACGATTTATAACTATTGTTGGCTATGGTCTAGCTTTGTACTATTGCGGGAGTCTTTTGGGTATTATTCAGCGATGTTTCAAGTTATACAGACTGTAGCAAGTTACGTTACTCTGTTCTAATGTCTAATCGAAAAATGAAAACAAAGTTGTGGAATATTTGCACCCAAAACGTAACCAAGTTATTAGCCGTCTACATAAGGAGAAACCCTCGAATTATGTGGACCTTCATTTCAACGTTTGCACTCCAGCTGCAGTTTCAGCACTCCAACTGTAGAACATCGTTGAGAGGAAATTGCGTCAATTCCGGTACGCATCCTGTTTTTTAGTTATTTGGTGCTACTTTTTTCTCCGATCGGCCTCACCAATCACTTTTGACCAAACTTCTCTCCTATGGAGAAGTCCTGACGACCGTGACACGCGAAGCATTTGTCACCAAATTATACTTCAGGATTAGGTCTGGGACTTAATGAACGTTTGCCAAACAGGGACAAGGCCGAGATCCGCGATTTACCTTGGTTGGGGTCCTTAAGCCAATGCGTGGTCCTGTGTTTTTCAGGGGACCACAGTACCTAACAAGGGACCCTTATCGACAAGTAGCCCAGAGTCAGCCTGGGGCAGTGTTCGAGGGGCTCGTAGAGGAGCCGAAGGACCCCTGGGACCGATGATCAAGCGCCTGATTGGACGCGAAGGCAGGGCCGGGCCACCAAATGTCAGCAAGAGGGTCTTTTGTATCGATAAGGGTTACCCTGGGACAAGCGGGTCTCTATTTTGGTCATAGACTACAACAACGAACAGTCGGCTCCGTATCGGTCTGAGCCGTGGAGCCCACTTCCCAAGCATAGACAAGGTCGAAACCCGCGACTGCATTGGTCGGGACTCCTGATGCAACAAGGGCTGTTTTGATGGTTAGGGGTCCACAGTGCCTGTTAGAGGGCCAATCTTTGCCGGGGGCCTCGAGCCGGCCAGGGCAACATTCGCTGGACAGGAACAGGGACAGGACCCCGAAAGCTAGAGGCCGCTTGCCTTGGTCGGTAACCTCTGACAATGAAAGTAGAAATAAAAATTTACGATTTGAGTCCACAATGCGATAATGGAAGATCTCTTCTCAGGCAGGGTCCCGGTTTCGAACGGAGAACGGGCCCCGGTTCCGAACATTCCAGCCAGGGGCCTGTCATGCCGAGCTGTAGTCTCTACGCCAATTATTGGACACCTGCGACGATAAGAGATCTTTGGCATCAGTGAGACCCACTGCGCCTATATGGGGACAAATGGCCGGGTCAGGGGGCCTCTGGTGTCAGGATGACGACCGACGTATGATGTATCCCTTGAAGGGTTTCCGTGTCGACCAGGAGATCCCGCCCCTGTGCCACCGGCCTGACAGCCGGCAAGCAACCCAAGCTGTAACCGAATGGCCCTGGAGCCATTGGCCGAGAAATAGAATGTGCTCTTATTAGCCTACTCACTAGGTCCCTTAGTCTAAAAAGGCAAGGGGTTTCCTTAGTTTTCAATAGGGCGCATCACAACGAGGTCAAAAATTAAAAGGCCAACACAAACAAGGCGGCTATCCCTGTTAGAGATCAACATGTGAAACAGTTTTGAGCCTGCGTGCTCACAATCTTAGGGGCAAGAACACCAATGGCCGGTGTTGCAGTTTTCAGGAGACCAAGCGGAGTTGGCCACTGTAGCTGTCACGGGCGGTGGATGCTTGGCGCCCGAAAACAGCCGTCGTGAATTAACGCTTTACAGGTATTTTAAAATAAATTTGTACCGTTCAGAATTTGGACTGCGGCGCATATGTAGCTTGTGGAATTTTGAGCTTATCCTCTGAAGAGATAACAGTGACCCCAACACGAAAATGGTGATTCAACCTTTCCTTGTCCGGTTCTATCATTGAATTGCATTCACAGCAACGGTTGGCGGTGCTGTGAGTACTTGTCCTTTCTATTATGGATCTAAAAATTGTACACGTGAAACACACTCCCTGAACACTTTCTAAGCATTTCCACCGACCTCTTAAAGCGTTCAAAGGTACTTTTCAGAAGCGTTGTCGTCTTCATCTGCCCGTTGGCCAGTGCCTAGTGTAAGACGCAGAACCGACGCCACGCAGCCTCAGGGGCTGCAATGCCGAGTGTCGGGGTTTGTGTTGTGAGACTAGCGAGCGCGCATGGTCAAAACTGTGTGGTGCAATTCTGCTATTACTCGTTTCTGAGCAAAGGTGATCATTTTGAGACTAAAACAGGTCGATATGAATGCGAAGTTACGAAAACATTTCGATCCAAAATATGTTTACTATGTCCCTGCACAACCCAGAAAACATCCGGCACAGCCCCTGAGAACCATCGGCTTGAAAACAGTCGACTGAAACATTATAAAATGAGTAGCACCGGTTTATTAAACGGAATGATTTAGCGCGTTTCCTTCGGTTTATTATACAACCAGAGTTGTGTTTATCGGTCTCCGCTGGCTTTAATGACAGGGCTCCCCTCGCAATCAAGTGGGCCATATTCAGTAACTTTTTTGGGTGGAGGCGTTTCACCAGGGGAAGGGGGAAGTTTGACCAACGCTGTGCCCCCCCCCCCCCCCCCCCCCCCAACTGGCTGTGCCCCTGCGTGGGTAAGTTCATTGCTTGTAGGTTCACAGCATAAGCACATTCTGTATCGGATACCACCGTTTTCAATCTACCAGGTGACTTTGCGAGGGCTTCCTTTAATGACGCCACTGATGTTTACCCTTCGATGCCTCCACGATGTTTGGACGACGCGATGGGGCACAGACTGGAGAATAACGGAAGGTGAGAAAATACTTTTATGGTTCCGCTGCGTGCGCGATTATGCTCAAGCAATGTCGTTCTGGGAGCACTATACCGCACGGTAACCTGCTTGAATCTGGTGGCACGATACCCGACGACTACTGGCCTTCATGTCTGATGACCACGGACATCGTAAAAACACCTCGTTTGTCTTATAGGGTCAGGTGCATCTGATGCCATCGCCTCTTCGACCTTTTTTAACATTCTGCTAGCGTTCCCGCTCGGAAGGCGCGAAGACGTGGCGGAAGAAAGGCCGGACTAAAACAGACCAAAACGATTTCCTGGCTTTGCAAACTCGCGCCAGTCTGAACGAAAATGCAATGGACTTGCGCGCAGCGTCTGGAACACCCGTCCCGCTGTCCTGCCCAGTGGGCTTCAAGTCGCACACGCACGAAAGATCTTATACGCGGCTGTTGTACCGCACGCATCAGGCAGCATGTGCAGTGTGCACGAAAGGTCCGGAACACGACACGAGGCCAGCGCTATTCCTTGTTTGCTGTTTCTCGCAAAGTACTGCCGAACTTCCTCCTCAAGCAATCTTTGCTGGCTGAGGTTGGAACGGAGCAAAGCCAAACAAACTACGTTGACGTTGATATTACGTTGACGGCGGTGTTATGTCTAAGATCTCAGCAAAAGCGAGGACTCCACTGACAACAAACAGCATGACAGCACCGATGGCATAATTTATTAATTACACCTTCAGAGCACAGAGAGACCAAGTCAGGCTCATTTCCCGGCCGTTTGCCATGCATACCATCAAAACAGTAATTCAACCACGATTTAGGTCAGTTCGTACAACAGGTCCTGGAGAAACAGGATTAAGACGTCTCGAGGGCGTCAGCATTGGACACATCGGGCCACCGGCGGCAGAATCTACTCAAAATAATCAGCAGCCATACGATATACGCACCGATCCACTCGTTGCTAGGAAGGACACATGAAACTGATGAAAACGCTCGCTCGCACGCCAATGGTATGTTCGCAGAGAGCAGGACGTCACGGCCACAACCGGCGCAATACTTCATATAATCTCCGAATCTTCATAAAATCCCAGCGCTCAATAATTATAGCGAATGAACGCTACCACCGAACATTCTCCGCCCAAGGACTACCATAAAAAAGAAACGGATATCCAATGATACACTTCCACAGTGACTTAACGAGTAGGTCAGTACCGGGTCTCCACGCGCCATCGTTCACCACAAGTCGGCTGTTCCAGTCCGGGCCCGCCATCGCCGCTCTAGACGAACACCTTAGCAAGCGCGTCCGCGCCGGCCGACGCGATGTACGGCTTGGAGGGATGGAAGCCCACGCAGTGGATGCTCTCGTCGCACTTTTTACGATGGGCCGTGATCTCCTGGACGCACTGTTTGTTGTCGAGGTTCCATAGTCGGATGCTGCAGTCGTGGCTGCCTGATAGCAGGTACAGGCCGTTCGGATCGACGGCCAGACTGGTGACAGCATCCTGGTGTGCCACCATGGCGTGCACCGCCTTGCCCGTCACGTTGTCGTAGAAGCGGATGTGCCGGTCCTCGTGCGCCGCCACCGTCAACGGCATGGTCGGGTGCGACACCACGCAGTTGATCTGGTCGTGGACGGCGGCGACGTCGGCGTTCTGGTTGGAGTCCAGCTCCACCACCAGCTTGGACGTCTCTAGGTCGTAGATGGCCGAGCGGCCGGTGGTGTAGGCCACCACCATCTGACTGCAGTCCTCGTGCACGAAGTCCACGGAGCTGGGCAGGCCGAGCGCAGGTTCGGCTGAGTACGACTGCAACAGTGGCGTCTTGGTGCCCGGGCTCCACAGCTTGACGGTGCCGTCCGTCGAGCAGGAGAGCAGCCGTGTCTTCTGCGTGTGGAAGGCCAGCCCCCAGATAGCGTCTGTGTGCTCGGCCAGCGTTTGACTCAGCACGTCCGGGTCGTACGCGTCATATGGGTCGATGTTCGAGTTGGGCAGGTTCCAGACGCGCACTGTTCCGTCCAGCCCCCCCGAGTAGCACTGCTCACCGGTCGGGTTCATGCTGACACACAACACGGCGCCCACGTGGCCGCGGAACGTGTAGATCGGCTCCACGTCCAGAAATGCTGACTTCTTGGCCGGGATGGTGCGCTTCAGATTCCACAGCTTCATGGTGTGATCTTCACTTGCTGTCACCAGCACTGGCTCAATGGGATGGAAAGCCAGCGCCCTGATCCCATCGAAGTGTGACCGCAGAGTGTATTTTGCATTCCACATTTTTGAGTAGGACTCCTTGTTTGCTATCACATCATCAAAGATGCCATCTGCTTCATTGGTAACAGTCAGCTGAGCAAGTTCACCCAAACCCATTTGTTCCAGAGCTTCATCATTGACCCCAACACCATACTGTCCAGAGCCTGCTCTGGAAGATGCCTGTTGATGGTCTGTGTCCACCATGCGCACACCTCCATCTTCCCATGGATTTACCATGTTTCCAATGCTTATGTTGCTAAAATTGAACTCCAGAGACTTCAGAGCCATCACCATGCTTGTGGCATCAGTTTCATCATCATTTCCAGACTTTTCTTGTTTCACTGTGTTGATCTCTTCACTTTTCCAGTCTTCATCATCATCATCACCCTCATCCACTTCAACCCCATCATTGAGGAAATCAAAGTTTTCTAAAACAGCCTGCTCGGCCTTCCCTTAGCATGTCTTCAGCTAAAACACCACCCCTGCTCTGAGGGGTGGCCTTGTTCTGCACCTCCATCTTTGAAGCAGGAGGCTCACTGTTGACCAGTGGTGGGCTTCCATGCTTGCTATCTTTTAAGCCTAGCAATGAGCGGACCCGGTTTGATCTGACATCAATCACAGTGTCAGTGTAACCAATTTCATGCAAATACTGCCTGAGAAGCTGACGTCCTTGTCGCCATGAAATGTTACTATTGGCTGTGATCAGCTGGTCTCCTTCCATGATGTCTTCTTGGCTCCCCTCATCAAACACTGGTGGCTTCAGGTCTCCTTGAGAAAGCTCAGCACCATACTTCAACTTGTGATACCTTGCACGTTCTTGTTTGAGTGCATGCTCTAGCATCTTAATTCTCCTCACCAAGTCATTCTTCAGATTCTCTTGCCCTTTGCGCTCACCTTGAAGAAAGGCAATCTTGGCTTCTAATTCTGCCCTTTCTACAGCCCACTTGGATCTTTCCAACTCAAACTTTGCCCACTCATGCTGTATATAGTGAAGAATGCCTGGAATTGAGTAAGCATTTCTGGGGTTTTCATCCTGCTTTGAACCACCCATAGCTGTTCCATCTGCCATATTACTGGCTTGACCATTGTGGCTTTGAACTGACATATCTGCCTCCCCAGTTGCTACTGTCATGACCAAAACTTGCAATCTTAGATTGTTGCGGTTTTTCACCTACTTAGCTCGAGTCGGCTGCATTTCATTTATCCATCAGCGTTTCTACCCGTACATGAATTTCGATACATCACTACACTCCACCACCCCCGCTGCGACAGCGCCAACACGGAGCTGGTTCTCAGTGTACGCGCATCTGCTACGCCCAATCCGCGGAAAACCACCGTAAGCCACACAACCGTGCAGCGGAAACGCACTCAGGCGTTAAGTGACGCATAACACCATTGCTCGCCGCCAAGGCTTCGTCGCCATTTGTTGCGTATAGTGAAGTCACCTTACACATCCCACAAGGGAATTTTGAATAAACTAGCCATCAAAGATGCATAGTTGGCCAAAACCATTTTTTGACGCTAGCAAATAGAGTATTATATCTAGGATTACATGCATATCGTATATTTTTTCTTTCAAAGGCTCCAGATATGAGACTCGGGCTGCCACAAACGAGGCAAATCCAAACCAACGGGTCCTTGCAGCATGCTGCAAAACATCTCTAAATCCGACTTTATAGACGATGCTACTAAAACATCTTTCTTCTATCGCCTGTGTGTTAGGCAAGTTTCGTTGATAAAAAAACATCATTTAAAAGCTGGCGATGTCAATCTTAAATGATACTCATCTTTCGAGACCATGGCAACTAAATCTTGATCGTTGCACTTCCACTGTTTCCAGTTTTACGTTCTTCAGCTCCTGAAATTCATGATTTGTCCGCACGGGGAGAACGCATTAGACGCATCTCGGTGCAGCGGCGGGGCGGGGAGGGGCACAGGCAGTAGCACAGGCAGGGGGGGGGGGGGGGCGCAGTGGGCACGTGCCCTTTTCTAGGTTCCGAGGGGCTCAAAGGGCCCCTCTGAACCTACGATTAAGGGCCCGAAAGCTAGCCAGAGATCTCATTCAGGGGCCCCGGCCCGCAGGGCCGAGCACTCAAATGCCAGTCAGAGGACCCTACGCGCTGATCAGGGGCCCAATGAGCCGATAGGGGCCTATATTTCGGTCACACACCACTAGAAACACACAGTTGGCTCCGTGGCGGCAGGGCCCATTTCTCAAGCAGGGACAAAGCGGGGCCAGCGATTTACATTGCTTGGGGCTCACAGCGCATAACAGAGGCCTTGTATTGTAAAGGGGCCCGAGTCTGCCACCGGCATTGTTCGAGGAGGCCCGAAAAGCCTAGAAGGCCCGCCGGGTCCGACGATCAAGGGCCCGATCGGAGGGTGTGAGGGCATGAAGGGCTAGTTAGAGTCTTATTCAAGGGCCTAGACCTGCAAGGACGGACGCTCAAATTACGATCAGAGGGCCCTTCGCACGGATCAGGGACCCCTGAATCGATGCGGGCCTGTTTGTCGGTCAGGTACCACCGTACCATATAGTGTCGGTTTGGGCTAAGGACCCACTTCCCAATCCGCTATATAGCCGGGGCCAGCGATTTACACTAGTCGGGGCCTTGTCTCTGTCAGGGGCCATAGCACCTAACAGAAGGCCCCGCGCCCGCAAGGGCCCTGAGCCGACCAACGAAAGTTTTTGATGGGGCCCGAAGAAAAGCCCGAACGGCCCACCAGAACCGACTATCAAAGGCTCAGTTGGAGGGTATAAGGGCCCGAAGGCTGCAGGTCACATAAAGAATCACGGCCCGTAGGGTCGCGACCTGAAATATCAGTCAGAGATCCTCTTGCACCGTTTAGGAACCCCTGAGACAATGCGGGTATCCAAGCTGGTCAGAGGCTGCGAATACCGAACAGTCGGCTCGATACCCGGCTGAGCCCTTGAGACTCGTTTCCCAAGCAGAAACGAGGCCGGGGCCTGCGATTTGTAATGTTCGGGGTCACTGACACAATGAGGAGCCCATGTGTCGGTTAGGGGCCACAGCATCGAACAGGGACCCTGAGGCGGTGAGTGGTCTCGAATCGAAGCTGTGTTCGAGGGGGCCCGATGAGCGTCGGAGGGGTCTCTCGAGACCAAAGGTCAAGGGTTCTAGGGGGTGGCTGAAGGGTCTGAAGGACTGGCTGTAGGTCACATTAAGGACCCCTGCCCATAGAGCCGTGATCTCAAATGTCAGTAAGATGACCTTTTGCACAGATAGAGGCCCCTGAGTCAGAGCGTTCCTCTATTTCGGCGAGAGATCGCAAACAACAAACAGTCAGCTGAGCGGCAATCCGAGCTTTGGGGGCTCATATCTTAAGCAGGTACAAGGCCAGTCCCACCATTTACATCGGTCGGGCTCCTGTATCATTCAGGGGTCCATAGTGCCTAGCAGGACACTGTGACCACTCTGTACCAACAAGGGGCCTCGAATCGGTCAGGGGAAGATTTGTTCAACAGAGACAGGGACGGGATTCCGAATGGCAGAGGGCCTCTTGCACTGGTCGTGGCCCTCTGACCATTGAAGGAGACAAGAACTTATGACCAGTGTTCACATTAGAGTACTGCGCCAATCAGGGCCCCCAGTACCGGAACGGTCGGCCCTCCAACCCTTTTCCAGCATGGGCCCATTAAGCCAAGCGGAAGTCTATGCGTCAATTATTTGACCATCTGCAGTGAGCACGGATGTTAGTCGCGTTAATGGGAGTTCATGCGCCAACCCAGGGTCAACTGCGCGGGTCAGAAGGCCTCCCGCGACAGGGAACGGACCAATGTAATGTGATGTATCCCTCTAAGGGCCTCCGGAGCGGCCAGAAGATGCCACCCCGTGTCGCCAAAATGACGGCCGAAAAACACACCGCAGTGGGACAGAATGGCGCTTCAGCCCTTGACCGGGAACAGCAATGTACCCCGTAGTTGTTGTACTCAAGGGGGGCCCTTTACCGGGAAAGTTAGGGGTCTCATTAGTGTTGAATGGAGTGAGTCGAAATGAGCTTGAAACGTACAAGGCCATCCCATATTTCTCTGAAAACGCTCAGCATTTTGGAGAATCGACTAGTGAAACAAATAACATCAAAAGGGTCTGAGCCTGTGCGCCGATTGCCGATAGTGTAGTGGTCAACGCGCCTTCGTTAACCACTGCTTATCTGGGAAACCACGGACATGTGGTTCGGTTCCTCGCCCTTCCCGCCAGGGTGAGAGGCTGGCAGCGCCACGTAGCCCCAGCGGCTAGTGCGTCATGAAGCCCCAATAGCACGCCCGTAATCTCGGGGGCAACGATAGCAATGGCTTGGGTCGCAGTTTTCGTAAAACCGAACGGCGTTGACCACTACAAGTAGCGCCAACGGGCGGGCGCCGAGCGCGCAACAATGACCATAGTAAAGTAATGTTTATGAATGTCTTTAAAATTAATTCGTACATTTCAGAGATTGAAGTGGACGAACCTTTTTTTTACAATTTTGAGGCCTGTCCTTTGGACATATTAACAGTTACTAGCAACACAACAAATATAAATATTACCTTTATACTTCTAGTTCCATAACCAGATTCCGGGACCACTTCGCGATGCTGTGAGGACCAATACGTCATTTTCATCAATCTAAAAACCGCAGAGATGAAATATACGCCCGGACTATCTCTAAATGTACGAGCTAGTGTCTAAAAGCGTTCAAATGTTCTTCTTTCGGATGCGTCACTAATTTCGTCCACCTACTGGCGACGGTCTAGTGTAAGCAGCGGTGCCGACGCTGCGCAGCCTAAGGAGGCCGCAACGCTTGGCGTCGAGTTTTTTTTTTCTAAGATACGCGAGCGCGCGTGCCCAAAATTATGTCACATAATTTGTACCACTTATCGGCTCTGTCTGAATGTTGAAGACAACCTGCTAAACAAGGTCTGGCCATGGTTCTGGCGATAAACATGGCCTGGCCAAAGATGGTTCTGGCGGGCAGAACGTGCCGAGCATTACGGCACTTAAAAGATTCCAAAGAAGTTGTGCCGTAGCAGGTACGCAGCCTAAGACTTGGAAAGGGGGGAGTGGGCACAGGGCTGATAAAGGGCTTATCAAAGCCGCCGGAAATGGTCCGTTTTTTAAGGACATATTTTTTAATCACGTCTTCTTTCATTGGAAAAGAAACCAGAAGCTGCCGCGCGACCAATCCTATCTGAATTTGATAGGCAATAGAATGAAAACTGCTTTAAATAGCATAAACTGCTTTAAATGACTGCGTGAAATGAATCGCCGGCGTTAGATATTTCGGAATGGTCCAGTGGGTTGTTTCTAATCTGATCGAACTCAGAACCATTCTCAGAATTTTTATCTGGGATCTAAAAACATTTAAGCGTTTGGCCTGCAGATAATCTGGGAAAATTATCCGGAATGTTGACAATTTTCCGGAATTGCGCTGGGCAGTGCTAACACGGAGAGCTGTTGCAGGTAATCCCGGAAAATTGGCAGTGCATGGTCAGGACGGAGAACCATTTGTCACTTGGCATAGTGAAAATGTTGACCGTTGACTATGGCCGTTGGCTGTGCATGACGCATGGAAGACGAAACCGGGGATAATTTCCGGGCGTAAATGGAATATCTCTGTGCACGACTATTGGAAGGATAATTATTGCTTGAGTAAATATCCCTCGGCTGAATGCACTGCAAGGTTCCCTCGAATATAGATTATAAATCGAAATAGGTCGACAAGTTGCATTACCATGGCCAAGCCAAATCTGTTCGGAAATGCTCAATATTCGCTCTGAATCGATTAGTGGAACAAAGTGTGTAACGTAATTTTGAACATGTCTGTTCGCAAAC